TTTTTTATAGTGCATGCCTTGTTTCTGATAGATTTTCATTAAGATTTATTTTTAATAATGCTCCCATTCCAATAAATGCTGTGTAATGCATAGAAGTGAGGAAAAACAGCATAATGTTCTTGTTTATATCACATTTAAATGCTTGCAATAAGACTGACCATTGTTGTTTATATAAAAACAGATGTAACACTATGACGTCAAGTAAATAACAATAAAAGACATGTAAACTGTTGATTACCTCACTTAGCCTGCAGCACTCTTCCATGTACTCATCCAGACTGTCGCTGGTTGTACTTTTCCTCAAAGGCCGCTGCTGAAATTCAGATCCTGTTTTGCCATCATAAGCTTCTATAGAACACTGGCTCCTTGATATTGTGTTCTCAGCCATTGCAGTGTCTGTTATTTCCTCATGTGCTGCCATGATTTCAATTGCATCTTTACAGTTCTCCATGGTATTCCTCATGGTTCTGTCCTTGGACCTCTCTGAATCTGCTGTGATGTCTATCAAATCATCATCAACATTCTCTTCCTCTGTTCTGTCTCCCAGGATGGTAAGAGTGTCTTGTTTAGCACACTTACAAGACGTTTGTTCAGTTTCTAAGAAGACTGAACTGTCTTCAAGAGGATTGTCAGCAGGTACAGGAGAGTTCAGGTTGCCAGAGTCACATGAAGACTCCCTACTGTGGACCACAAAGCTTTGCTCTGAACCAGTTGGGGTGGATGGAGAAGTTGCTCCACTAGTCATTTCTACCCCAGAGTCCTCAGATTCAAATTTATACAATCTTGGAAGTTCAGAATTTGTAAAAATAGAAGATAGATAGTCTGTTTTTGATTCAGGGACAGTGGTCTCAGGAGCAGCGCTGTGGACAGAGATCACCTCATCAGCTTGGAGAGGTTCTGTGTTATCCTGCTCAGACATCGAAATGGAGATGGTTGAAATGGAATCCTCAACATTAAGCAGTTTCTCAGGGACGTTGTTGAGGAGCTTCATTTTTGTCAGTACAACATCATTATCCAAAACAATATCCCCTTTACCTGCAGAACAAACAAAGAGAGAGGTCTGAGTAATTTTATACTTTCACAATATTAAAATCATAAATTTGTTCAAAAATTTATTCATTTGAACTGTGCATTTTCTGTGCAACTACCACCAGATGGAGTTGCAAAAATAATCTTTATTTTCAAACTGGTTTAATATTTTCATATCACCACAAGAGCAACAATGTTTACTCTTCTCTGGGAAATCAATCAACTTATGGACTTATAATTGTGTCTAAAAATTAAACTGGGATGGGGAAAATCATTTAAAATCACAAACAAATCACAGACTGCAGTAGTGAAGCTAAATTTCCATTGCATACTTCAGCTCTCATTATTCAAATTATTTACAAGCATTTATATGCAAACATACTTCCCTGTGCCAAAAGAAGAGTGCTTATCTCACTAAGCATTCTTTAGCATCAGTGGTCCACAAAGAGTCATATAGTCCTGTCTTGCTCTGAACTTTGATCTTTGCATTATCTTAATGCTATTTTGAGGCTCAGCTCTTTCATTGTTCTGGAAATCTGATACATTTCAGGTGTCATTCACTTTCATATCTTAATCTCACTTTCCAAAGTAAGAGTCTGTGCTTGTACTTTCAAATTCAAATAATGTTGGTTAAGCACTTCTGAACACAATCAGGTCAAATAAAAATAATATCCTGCACACTTCTATGATTATGATTATGATTATTTTGCTTATACAGTGCTAAGCAATGGTGAACATGACTGTCAGGAAGAGGTGTGACTAGAAGCTTGCAGTGGGATGTAAATAAATTGTTAAGTAGATGATTCACAGGATATTTATTCTGAATATGTTTAGAGGACACTAATTTACATACTGTGAGGAAATTTAAAGATGTCTAAATAGCTTTTAGTCTTCACAGACTCATCACAGTGATACAACGTGAAATTAGAAATCATACACTAAAATATAATTTCATAAAGCCTTGAAAAAGATAACAATAATAAAGACTCTAGCCATTCCCAGCTCTCTCATAAGGTCTAAATGTTGTTTTTGTATGTCACTTTTATTAATAATAAACATACCCATGTGTTTTGTTAGAAAATAATTTGTGATGATCTTTTTCCAGATTGGATAGTGACTGTGAAAACACTGATAGAATTTCAATTATGTGAGATCTGTTGCTGCTCCAGGTTTTTTTCCACCCATTAAAAACAGTGCTTGTGTTTTTGCAGTCCTTTCTCATGGACCATGTGTACACAACACCTGGACTCCAGTACAAACCTTTTTAAGATCTATTTCAAATAGACTTCATTGTTCAGTTTTATCTAAATGAAAAATGTTTCCCTCATAAGGCATCAAGCATGTCGATGTTAATCTTATTCTTTCGTGCTAACCAGGTGCAATTCAACAAGTTTCCAGAAACAATCATGTGTTTGTCCATGATGAAAGCAAAAATACATAAGAAAAATATCTAAAGAAATATATCTAATTTCTGTAACATATCTGTAGGTCCTCACCTATAAATAAATATATATATATATATATATAATGTCCATGCAGCACTATTAAATA